TCTAACCTTACATTTAATGCGGAATTGCTTTAATGGACACTTTATAGTTTCGACATTAATTCATACCTCCTCTATTACCTTATGAATAAACAAATACATGGGAAAGAAATGAAAAACAATGTTGAATTAAATACCATATACTAATCTATAGTTTATTAATGCAATTACAACTCAACCTGTACTAACCTATACTAATAATGCAAATGAAATTAACCTATAATAACCTATACTATGAATGTAAATATAACCCAACCTACACTAACCTAAACTATTAAATTGGAAAACAAATCTATCATATTCATGTGCCACGGTCACAGGATTTGCGATATTTCCGTTGGTCTCACATCGGTGCTTTTCCTTTATCTAAAAATGTAGTAGCATCGAGGCTTGAGTATTTTAAGAATACCCAGTAAGCAACCCCATATCAGGGGTTATGCAACAAATACATGCAAATGAGATGACGGACATCAACGATTGAATCGTGGAACATGTCAAGCCTACGTCGTAGACTAGTCTACAAGATCTATAGCCTAGAGCTCTGATATGAACTGAACTACAAGAGCCACTTACTTGGTAGGCGTTAGCCGATGTACTCCCTCAAATATATATGTAAGCTCCTACGTCGTAGGCTAGTCTACAAGATCTATAACCTAGAGCTCTGATATGAACTGAACTACAAGAGCCACTTACTTGGTAGGCGTTAGCCGATGTACTCCCTCAAATATATACGTAAGCTCCTACGTCGTAGGCTAGTCTACAAGATCTATAACCTAGAGCTCTGATATGAACTGAACTACAAGAGCCACTTACTTGGTAGGCGTTAGCCGATGTACTCCCTCAAATATATATGTAAGCTCCTAACTCCTTGTATGCGTCCTATGCTTTCGTCAGTAAGATGGTTCCTATTGGATCGTTTGACATCCCGTGACCGTGGCACATGCATAGGATAGATTTTTTTTCCAATTTAATAGTTTATGTTAGTGTAGGTTGGGTTGTATTTGCATTCATAGTATAGGTTAGTACATGTTGAATTTCATTTGCGTTATTAGTATAGGTTAGTATAGATTGAATTGTAATTGCATTAATAAACTATAGGTTAACATTTGGTTTTTAATTCAGCATTGTTTTTCCTTTCTTTCCCTTGTATTTGTTTATTCACGAGGTATGAATTAATGTCGAAACTATAAAGTGTCCATTAAAGCAATTCCGCATTAAATGTAAGGTTAGAAGTATAGTAATGACCTCAGATTAAATGGAGAAAATTCAGGGTCGTTATAGTTGGTATTAGAGCTTTAGGTTATAGATCTTGTAGACTACCCTACGATGTAGGCTTGGCATGTTCCATGGTCCCATTTTCATGCCCCGTCACCGTCGGGTATGTCCTACATAAGATAAAAAAAAAATGTTATTGATCGTTAAAAAAATGTTATTGATTGTTTATGCTAGGATTTCTTCCTAGGATTAAATGCAACTTAACATGAAACTTTATGCCTATTGATATTTTATATTACCAAATTATATGTTTATAATTATATGTATATGGGATGAACTGTATAGAAGTAGTAGATTTAAGAATGGTTACATGTTAGCCTGGAGGGCATGATATAGAACGTTGAGGAAAGGGACGACACCCTATTAAAAAAAGTAGTATTCTCATCCGCATTCGTACCCAAAGCCCTTATAGCATGACATCAATAGGATTAAAGGAATATGAGGTGTAATTACAAGCCTTATTGGGTAAGGGTTTTATCTATCATAAATTCCCTCCTTGAGTTGCGCCAACATTAATGGTCAAGTAGAAAGATGACTCCATGTGTCTAGCTTAAATGAAATTTTGAAGACAAATTAATGGAAGGTTCGGTGGCACATAGACTAGTACTATATGACAAACCTCATTCATGTAAATAGACTATGAACCCTGTCAAATTAATAATAAATTAAGTTACAAAGGGAAATCTAGGAAAATCTTAATCCACGAGTTGAAAGCCTTCACAAGAAAGAGATTGTCTTCGTCAAAATATTGAGACGAAACAAGTATATGAAAGTGATCACATTGGAATAGGAGATAAGATAAGAGAAAAGTACCCTGATTTAGGATACAAGTTTTACACTTTCGAGGACAAAAGTTTCTTTTAGGGGTATATGATGTAAAGATTCAAAAAAAAAAAAAAAAAAAAAAAAAAAAAAAAAAAAAAAAAAAAAAAAAAAAAA